CTGTACCGTTTGCCAAGTCGCCGCACGTTTTTTTACTTTTTGCCCTTTCCCATTACGAATGCAAACCCATTCGTAAGTTGATTACAGTATATAAGTTGTATCATAGAATCACAGCAACAGGAATTTACGTTTTCATTTCTGTGCCCAAACCGTGTGCAGTTTTATTAGCCTACAGTTTCTTGACCCATCTCGTGCGGCTATCTAGTCTAGGCTTCGGATAGCCTTTAAATAGTCGAATAGCGCAATAATGTCTGTTTCTGACTTTGATGCTGAGGACTGCTGTGATGCTGTTGTTCTTATTGACGCTGAGTAATTACAGAATACTGAGACCCGGAGTAGAATGCTGTAGTCGGCTCTGACTAAGATGTGTCTGCAGGCTAAGCACTATAGAGATAATAGTTGTTTTGGGTACGATGTCACGTCGGATCAACTGACTAGTAAACGGACAGAATTTTTACATTATGATGTTTGTGGTCTTCCTTCTGATGTTGCTCTTCGACCATCTTCTCTAAAACTGTTAACTTGCGCTCGGCGCATGTCGTCGGTGCCGCGTTTGGATGGTCCGTTGTCGGTCTCAGGTTCGGGTGCATGACGCAGACCTCCATGTAGATTCACATGCTGCCACTAACTGTTTGCTTGAACCGAAATGCAATTGTTTTGGTCTGAAACGACGTCCTGTCTCCCTAAACGAGAGATAATCACATTTAATAGTGACCCAGCTCGCTATTGGATTTTTACGCAACGCTTTGGATCCAACGTGACCCGAACAACTTCCGATCCGACGATTCCACTTTCATATCTGATATAATATTGCTGTGGTGAGGCCATCGAAAGTTGTTTGATCCCCGAAGCTGTTGAAGGTTTGGAAGAAGCAATGAGTATTTTGCGCAAGCGCTTCGTAGAACATCATTTGATAGCGAGGACCGACATCATTGATTTAACTGATGGACCTAACATCAAACCCAATGATTTTGTAGCCCTCTCTCCTGTAGCTGTGAAATTGCAGTGCTGTTAGTTAACTCGGAAGCAGTTAAGATACGAAGCTTATATGAACGCGTCGCGAACAATCAGCGGTATAGTTAGACGGCTGCTGAATCATTTGCAATTCAAGTGGGGCGAACATGCCGCTAGGGTCATCCGGACAGGAAGAGTGACAGATGTTATTGATTTGACTGAGTTCCTGGAAGAAACAGTCGATGTCGTCGATACTTACCGGTATTTTATCCCGCGCACCTTCGAATCAACTGCCAAGACGGATGGAAGTAGCGGCTTAAATGCCCGAGGTCGTGCTGCTTAATCGAATGCTGGAACATCCGTAGAGGGGCCTCAAGTTAAGTGCATTTCCTGTGAACAACCTCATTAATTAGATCAATGTGATGGATTCCGAAAACTTTACTACCACCATGTTACACCCCTCGATGATATCGATTAGTTAGTTCAGCCAAACCGCGTTCTTACTACTTGCCTCGCATTGACCCATCAATAGTTCTTCACTTAATGCTTTAACTCGTGTGTCATGTGAGACACGTTGCAGTGCTTCGCCTGATACACTGTTTTGTACTGTGCCTTGTTCTTGACTAACTGCGACCTGGGATCATACTTTGCTTGAATTCGTCCCTAAGTTATACACCAGCGTCTAGAATTCTGTTGTGCCAAATGTGTCTCAAAACGAACCATGACTTATCAAGTTGCTGGTCAAGAAAGTATTGTGGATTAAGTAACCGTAAGCTACTTCATCACAAGTTGCCACATGCTGAGCATGGTAAGAACCCCAGGACACTGAATACCGAGGGATCTAGTTTCGCTCTAAATCGTGCCGAAAAGCCTGCTGTTTCACTTGGTGTATTGCCCGTTCTAGTCGCTGGTCCTGCTGGCACCGTTCGGACGCTAGCCTTGGTGGATAACGGATCAGACACTTCATTGATCGATTCCCACTTGCTTCAAAATATCGGAGTGCAAGGGCCCGTGAAGACATTGAACCTATGTACCGTCGCTGGTCGATGCCAGGTAAAGTCGCAGTCGGTTAGTGTAACTGTTCAATCAGTAGACGGTGGTGAGGCTAGTTAGACTCTGTCAGGTCAATCAGTCGTCTCTGAAACACTTGGAACGGGCACAAGAAGAAATGCTTTCTACAGATGGCTTCACTTATGCGACTTACGGTTTCCAGAATCGAAGGGGTAGGTAGAAGTTTTGATTGGAAATGATAACCCATATCTGCACTGGGCTCTGGAGCAAAGGCGAGGGAGGTTCATTGATCTGTATGCTGTTACAACCACGTTGGGCTGGTTAGTGTTGAGTCCGAGCAATCTGCCCGAGTCCAAGGGAGATCAACTTGCGTCCGTTGTAGTGGATCACTCACAGGAGATAAATTCGGTTCGCTCCGGCACCACCGACCTAGATTATTTATTAGAACAAACGTATAAAATGGACTTCGATGGCGTTGAAATTCCCAGATTAGTCATGTCCGTGAACCACAGGCGTGCACCCAAACTCATGGGGGCTTTCGTAAAAAGAGTCGTGGTCATTCTGAGATCGCGTTATCATGGCAAGCTAAGAGATCACGGTTACAAACTAATAAACAAGTTGCACTGATGAGACTTGCCCTGTTGAAGAAGCGGCTGTTAAAAGATGCTACATTACTCGAGGCATACACAAATGCAGTGGAAGAATATGTGGTTAACGAGTACGCTAAATCAGCTCCACTACAAGAGAAACAGACCAAAGGAGAAACAGTGTATCTACCACATCACTCAGTAGTGCATCCGCGTAAACCGGGTAAAGTACAAGTAGTTTTCGATTGTCATGCCTCTTACCGCGATACTTCTCTCAGTCAATACCTGTTCAGGGTCCCAATTTGTTAAACAGTTTAGTTGGTTCTCTCTTGCGGTTTAGAACCCGATCAATCGAGATGGCATCTGATATTGAATCCTTATTACACCAAGCCAAGTTTCCCAGTAGTGACACGGATTGCTAGAGGTTTCTATGGTGGAAGAACGGTAATCACTGTTTACCTCCTACATAATAGTACATCCGTTTGGAGCCATTTCGTCACCTAGTTGTGTAAATTGCTATACGTGCCGGATTGGGCTACGTATTGAACAAAATGTTTAATTTCACGGGTATAAATCAATAAATCACGGGGTCATTGGAAGTGGGAAGTGTGTACAGGGGAAAATCATAGCCGAAGTTGTAGGCCACGGTAGAAGCAAAGGACGTACAAACTGTTTTTGTACGCACAGTTCTGGCTTGAGGTGGCGGATGTAGATAGCTTCCGCAATAGACAGAAGATGCGTCCGGAATCCGCGCGTGAAACGTTCAGGAACAGTATAGACGACTCTAAAAGCATTTTCCGTTCCTGCGTGACTGCACTCTAGTAGGTGAGATAAGATGGAACTGTTGCTGAAGCTCGCTTCGCCTTTGTAAAACCACTTTGGGATGTGTTCGCGAATCCTATGAGATAGGCGTCTTGTGGTACGACCCACGTATTTTAGAGTCATCTATACTGTTCCTGAACGTTTCACGCGCGGATTCCGGACGCATCTTCTGTCTATTGCGGAAGCTATCTACATCCGCCACCTCAAGCCAGAACTGTGCGTACAAAAACAGTTTGTACGTCCTTTGCTTCTACCGTGGCCTACAACTTCGGCTATGATTTTCCCCTGTACACACTTCCCACTTCCAATGACCCCGTGATTTATTGATTTATACCCGTGAAATTAAACATTTTGTTCAATACGTAGCCCAATCCGGCACATTTAGCACTTTTCCTCATCATGTAATGTTTGAGTCTGATGAGAATTACCGAAAAGAATTCTTTACTCAGATTCTGCCTCCCTTGATTCATTCTAATAAATGGGAATTTTTGGATTGCTGAGGAGCAGCATTCCCCGTGATTCAGTCAAAATTGCTATACACCAACCCATTACCGTTTCGAAACCGTAGGGAGGACACGGGTGGGAGCCCGCTAGGGTCCGATTGCATGGTTCTCCCCCAGCAGCTGCATCAGGTTTCACAATCTGGTCTCGCAAAAGGCTGGCTCGCGACGGACCGTCCTCACGTAGATTGAAGGACTGTTTACACAGTCCCTTCTGGGGGAGGGCTATAAAGCAGTGTGGAGATTCCCCTTTTCGCCTGTGTAAAATGCTAACTAAAGTTATTTAATTGTACACCTAGGCGACCGGTGTGGTTTGTTGAACTGATTGCTGAGTTCGAAAGATTGACTTACTCATCGGCATTTTTGCTTGGTGCTCGTTTCGGCTGCAACGTGCGACTAACCAGTGTGCTGTGCATGCTACGTTCCCTTATCTAGAGCGTAAACGGTGTCGACTTTTTATAGCTAGGTAACAGGGAATCTTTTACTGTACCAATAAAAGTTTCCCGACAAACCGATCTGCCTTTTTGAATCACTCTCCGGGCTCCCGCTACAGGCTACCCGCCAAATACGACTTACATCGTAAGAATAAGAATACATAACAACAATAGGACAGTGGGTTTGGGCGCGAATAGAAGGTATAGAAACAAAAAGGAAATATGTTAGACTTATCAAAATGGAGCAAAAATTAACAACCAGATGAAAGAAACCCGTTGTGTCGGAGTCTCACGACTGCTTCCACCCACTAACGGTCGAGAGAACACGAACGACCAGGGACAACGAGTCAAAGGTTCTTTTATATAGAGAAAGCACTTCGTTAAATAGCATGACACACAATTGTGAAAGCCAGTCAGAGTACGGAAGGAGTGCGGATAGGTAAAGCCAAGAAAGACTGAGCAAATAAGGAACCAATCAGGTGCACACAAGGAAGGGAACGTGAGAGTGTTAGCGTCAGGGTAGAGCCGGGATTTGTATTTTCCACTCCTCTAACACCTTCCACTTCTTGCGAAACAAATTCACGTTGGTCCACATGGTTCTTCCGACGAGGGAATCCACCTGGGCCCACTTGTATCCGCGACCATGGCGGTTGGGGCTTCGGCAACGATACCAGTGTCATCCGTACAGGTAGCTTGTAACCACAGAAGCATTTATAAAAGGTATGGCAAATATTGCAGATAGTAACAAGCGTTACAGAACTCACATGACTCGAGGTCGCTTTGAATAGATTTAACTTCCCAATCCGGTCGGTTACGGGCAGATTACTATGGGTACAGAAGGCTGGGAAGATAGTCCCATAGATTCGTATAATCTTGAGTCTGCGTTCGTAGGAGATTCTTCCTTTCAGCTGCAGATGTTCTTCGGAAACATTTTGATCCACTAAAAATTTAGGTTTGACTGCTGATGTGCCAAGTCGTGCCTGGGTTGGTAAAGTAATGGTCTTGATAGTATGCATCATTTCGAGTCGCAGCGATACCGGAATATTGTTGTGTTCCATTGTAGGGTATTTCCTCTTCCCTGGAAAGTCTGTGCGCAATACTGCAGAATTCGCCTCCCTTGTTGCGCCGCGAAACCTGTTTTTTGAAGTTGAAGTTTGCTTGCAATCTTGATGTATGCATGATGTTGTAACGCTTCTTCTTTACCTCTGCTCTCTGCCACTGACGACTGTTGCTAGCTGTCCTATGAGACTGCGACTGTCTGACTTCTCAGTCACGCGCCCAACCAACCGACGGAATACAGAAGACCAAGGCTCGGTAAACAGGGAGTCTATCTACACCATAAGTTAACTGTATTTATAGGTAGCCGAAACATGCTAATTTAGGAGGTGAAGATCGCTCATTTTTGTGCGTCTGATTTTCAGCCAGTGTGAGTGAGTTCCACTCCCCGGGTTTATCATATTGACGGTATAGTTCGATTCGTTTTACGCGGACTGGTAATTGCTGACCGATCAATTCTCAGTCGATACCCAACTTTAGCTCCGCTTACGTCTCTATTACACGCATCTGAATTTGTGCGCCTTTTGACAAGGATGAATGTTGTGAACGAAATTCCTCGTAGAATGCCTCTCACCACCGTTCTAATACGTAGGCGAGGGCTTCTGGTCCGACACATCTGGATTCATATGTTGGGCATTAATAGCTGCGTGGCAGAACTGGGATTCACTTCTGGGATCTGAAACTTCAACAATTTTTGGAGCATTGTTCAAACTAAGCAGCCTTTGACATTCAGATGCAATTTCTTGTGATGTCTGCCTCTGTTCCGACTGCCATTCCATCTGGATATTGAGCTCTTGTAACAGCAATTCAAATAACTGCCGCTGTGACTTTCAAACTGGAACTGCTGCTGCTGAAGGTGGGACTGCAACTGCTCGAATGAAATAGCCATGATTATTCAACACCTCCGTCGTCACAAATGTGTCGGAGCCCTGCGACTGCTTCCACCCACTAACGGTCGAAAGAACACGAACGACCAGGGACAACGATTCAAAGGTTTTCTATATAGAGAAAGCATTTCGTTAAATAGCATGACACACAAGCGTGAAAGCAAATCAGAGTACGGAAGGAGTGCGGACAGGTAAAGCCAATAAAAACTGAGCAAATAAGGAACCAATCAGGTGCACACAAAGAACGGCACGTGAGTGTTGGCGTCAGAGTAAGGGCACGAGCTGTATTTGCCGCTCCTCTAACAAAACCGAATGCAGGAACGCCACTGACTTCGTGACTGCGTCATGTCGGACACGGTTTCTAACCATTGGTGTGGACCTTCCCGTGGCTCCCATCCAGGAAGACGGCATACACCAGCCTGACCAATTTTTCCAGTTAATTTCTTCGTGTCTCAATGACAAGTCATGGACTGGTCACCTCGAAGTTTCACCCAACTTGGTGCGGTCACGGTGTATAATGCAAGCCGAGGAATCCGGTCAACTGGCATACGGAGGACAAGGTCTAGCCAACGTAAGCGACTAAGGTTCAGTCAACACTGGAGAGAGGCACCAGAAGGCCTCTTGCCAAAAACCAAATACCTGCCTTCAGCATTGCTCCCCCAGTGTTCCCACCAGACGTGAGCAGTACTCCGCAAGCATCGGTGGTCAAACACGGCTAAGCGTTTAATGTCTTCGCAGCGGACTGGCCAGGTCTCCGATCTACACAGTAACACCGGCCATCCCGCTGTGTTGTACACCTTATTTTGCACTGACAAAATGATATCCCGCTGCCTCCATAGATGGTTGAGCCTCTGAAAAGCCACACGGGTCTTGCTGATATGCGAAGTAAGTTCCTCAGTGATGTGACCACCAGAGGTGACACAGCTACCAAGATAAGTGAATCGATCCACCATTCCCAATGGCTGTTAGGGAATAGCTAAAATGTGAGGTGTGCCGGCCCAGTCCTACAATAGCACTTTGCATTTTGAAGGTGCAAAGTGCACGCCGAAGCGTGCAACGCTACCCACAAGTCTGCGCAGTTGTGTTTGCTTAGCTAATGCATCAGACCCAAAGAGAACTATGTCGTCCGCATACTTCGGGTTTGTTAGTCGGTCGCTTGGCAGAACTTCCACTCCAGAATAGTCTGAAAGAACCGAATCGTTCATGATCATTTCGAGCACAGAGATGGAGAAAAGGGGATATAGGACAATCCTGGTGTGGTCAACAGAGTCGAAGACGCTTTTCACGTCAAGAAAAACCACCATAGTCGGTCGTCTGTATGTGTGTTACTGCTATAACATTTGGTGAAGAGTAAATACGTAGTCGATGTAACTACAACCAGGACGGAAGCCAGCCTGGTTTTCAGTGATTCGGTCCAAAGGGGGAAAAGTCATCGAATAATGATACCGGTGAGAAGTTTGGAGGCAATAGAAATAAGGCGAATGCCTCGATAGATTCCGCACGAAGTGCGCTGACCCTGCTTAAAGATGGGCACGACAGTAGACAGTTACCAGCCTCAAGGCACTTGTTCAGTGTCACAAAACGTGTTAAAAAGAGAAGCAAGTCCAGTCAACAAAGAGTTATCACTAACTTTCAGCGAAGATGGGCGGAAAGTCGTCCGGTCCAGGAGCTCTGTTTCGTTTCAACACGGCGAGCTCATATCGAATCTCTTCCAAAATGGGAGGTGATTCGGCAAGCACTAGGTCTGGTGGACTGCTCCACAAAAGATTGTACCCAACAGACTAGTCGAGGAGACTGTCCACCTTTCCCAGCTGCTGTTTCATTAACTGATGACTTTCTCGGATCCGTATTCCGGATGAGCTAGAGTAGCACTCGACTGTTTCCCATAGCATTGGTTTTCTCCATCTCACGGGCCCTTGCCATTCGCAAACGTACCCGGCCAACCCGAAGACTCCTTGTCGGACGTCGTTAAAGGGTTACGGACATGCTGAAACTTAGTGCCCATCGGAATTTGTTTCCATGCTTCGATAAAATTGATCGATTGATTGATCCATTCGCAGTTACGTCTCAAAGGTATTCTGCATGGCACACTTGAGAGGATACCAGACAGCGTTCGGTTCACCAACCTCCTTTATCACTTAACTTGGATGGGCAGTTTGATGGACGAGTACTGATGACATCAGCAGCAAGGTCAGTGGCAGTTTCGTGCTCAATAGACGAAAGAGCGAACTGAGTGGGGAGAAAAAAAAGAGGAAGTCATTATTTTAAAACGCTTAGTAGACGACCGATTAATATATTTATGGTGATACACAACCTTTCGCTTTTGATTCAAAAGCTCCTTCAGACGATGTGAGTTAGCTTAACAATGGCAATTTATAACGACCATACATGGTTGCCGGCATCCGGTTTCGGATTTGCATGTCATTGACCAGCCACAGGACGCCTGCGCCTACAGAGGGACCACGTGTGGCTTACACTGCACCACACACAGCTCCATCCACACACCCCATATCCAGTGTAAACCCGAAGGAATAAGAGCGGGTGGCATGTGAATGGGAACCACGTTTCATCCACGGAGCCGGCCCACACTACCTCACACGCAGACACAAGCACGCTGAATTTGGGGAATCAAGCGCACACAAGGCGGTGGCTGGACCGTAGTCCGCTCCACACTGACTGCATGGAATTACGACCACAAGGACCGTGCACTTCGTACCCTCCAGCAACAACCAACTGTCTCCTGGAGCCAATATGGACGAGGTAGTGGGTAATAGACAGGTAGACACCTTGCGAACATGCACATCAAGTGCAGCCATACCGCGGATGTCAAACAACAACCAATCATTTGACATAAAAGTAACAATATAACAACAACAACAGCAGCAACAGCAACAACAACAAAAACAAGATACCATTAACAATAACAAAAAAGGTATAACTGTTAAAGCATACAGCTATGTCGATATAACTCTCCCTAAATTTGCATTTGAAGTAAGTTGGTTTTCAACGAATAAGCGACAAGTACGAAATATCCACAAGTTACTCGAAAAAGGTCACAAGCGCAATAAAGCTAACGAAGATAAGCGCAATTAGAGTAAGCAACGTGTGCAAGTTAATAAAAGAGTATTTAAGTAGGTAAGACAAACCGATTAAACTGGAATGAAATTTATTCAGCTCAAAAGACCTAGTTTAAGTGTAAGTTGGTTTAGCCTAACTGCGGTGAAGAAGCATCATGAAGACGATAGTCTGTCCTGCTATCCGTTACGGTTCAGCATCTGAATTATTTCGCCTACCAAGAGTCTTCCCTCTCAGTGAGTCTTCCAGTAGCTCGATTTAATTCCATTTATTTCATAGAATATATTTATGGGACTCAAGTGGGTGAATATTCCGATGTAGATTATATGAGTTACCAAGTAACGTCATTTGTACCACTTGCGTCTGCAATTGGGCGGTGAGGTTGTACCGATCACTCAGTTCGCTTATATCTCGACACTATCTCAAATCATTGTGGAAACAACTAACTCTTCTTTGGTCTCATTTGTCTAAAAAATATTCCCTTTGAAGTGACTAAATCTATTGTACATACAGCCGGATCGGATTGCGGTCGAGGACCTGAAAATGCCACTTTATGAATGTGTTCACGATGCCCAACTTCAGTTTGTTGGGCAAGCACAGAAACGGAAACATCAGGTCACGCTGGTTCCCCGTTAAGTTCTTAGTTCGCTTAGATATTCATCACTAAAAAAGCGTGGCACAGTAAGTGAAATAATTGAGATACCATGTTACCGCTGTCTGTGTAGCGGATGATTTAATGGAAATATGGAAATTAATTGCGTCATTGGTGAACGAAGCCATGGTGAAACGCTTTTAGTGCCAGTCTATTTTAGATGTCATAGTGGGAGCTTTCTCCGTCGAAATCCTCGGTGATTGCTAATGAGTCGGAGGCATTTTGCGACACTACTGCTTGAGAAGCTTGACTCATTTTTATCAGTTATTTGATTAAAACATCCAGAAGACTAACGCCAATGAATGCGCCGATCTGTATTATCTCATTAGTACCAATATGATACAAAAACTTATATCAAAGGTCAACGGGTGTTATCTGACCAGTCGCATGTTGCAGGGTGACCTGCGGCGTTAAACCTATGACCAGGGTAACCGAGGCTTGAAAACCAATTGTTTTTAAACACATATGGCCGCTTTATCCCCATGGCCTCAGCGGATCGCACAAGACGTGAATTAAGGTGACCTAGTAAAAGCCGAAGCGTCGAAAGGAGTGTACTCCGTTGGTAAAGGAAGGTGCCAATCCAACCAAGTACAGGATCTCCGATTCCGTAACTTTGTAGTCTTTGAAGTAGGATGCGGTGATCA